CACTGAAGATGGTCTATATAAGACCGAAACGTTTGTTAATTTTAATATTTTGTATATATTGATAAAAAACATTGGCTACAATAAGGGCTTCGGTTCTCAGCCCTTCTTTTTTGTGTTGTATTTTAATCTTACAAGCTTTTGATTTAAGTTTAAAAATATTCAATTTTCGATAATTATATCAATACTTTTTTACATAGAATAATGAGACCAATCAACTGGTATGTGTGCTTGTATGTGTGTAATGCTCTTTTTTTTCTCATTTGCTAAAGCACCAGGGTTTCTTTCTTTACTTCTTTATGGACTTGTGTTTTGTAATTTCGGTGATAATACGTATAAAAATGTGAACAGTAGTGGAAGACAAAAATAATTTCTATGCAACATAGAATATATTTACGACCTATGTCCTGATGATATGAAACTCAACTTTAACTATCTCGAGCTTCCTCCATGCGGTTTTAAATGATTGTACCATCATGCGTATCTGCATATCATGTCATAATGTAATATTTTATTAATTCTTTTTTGCGGTTTAATTGTTGTTTCACGCTGAAGAAGGCTCAAAAAAAGAACCGAAATGTATGTATTTCATATTTGTAATGTATGATTTACATCGGAATAATCTGAGTGTTTTTTAAAAATATATATATATCGCGCTTCACACACATTATCCGCGCCGAAGCTCTTATAGCCAGTGTCACTTTAATGATTTTTTGGTTTACGCTTGGCTAACGCTTTTTTTTTATATAATAATTAATTGTAATATACATATATTTTACATTACATATTACGTTTATAAAAGGATATTGACATAATTTTATTAATTTTTCAGTTTAATTCACCACCGAATTCTACAGAATGTGGCAATAACCTTTGTGTGACTCAGTTAACCAAAATCTACCTCGAAGATGAATATCAAATACCGTTAAATCAGGAACCTGATGAATTAATTATAATGTCTTTTAATTTTTTTAACTACAGTGAGCAGTTGTTATTTAATACCAAAAATGAAGAATATAAAAAATTCTATGGTAAATATTTTAATAATTTAATAACTATTCATATTAATTAGATTTATTCTGGATTTCCGGCAAAAAAAATTTTGCCGGGACGTTTTCAGGGGCATTTATGCCAAACCCTTACAACCTCCTACTCTTCTCCATAATTACAAAACATCCTCCTTTTTCCATCCTATACATCATATTTCACATCCTATATATATACAACTTATACATTTATCTCTACTCCTATTACACTTTCTTCTTTCTCTTCTTCTTCTTGGCCTTTATTGACCTTACAATTCCGCTACACCAATTTCCTTTCCTTTGCCTTCTCCTTCATCTTACTTTCTCTCTCTCCTGTCAGCGCCTCATCGGGATGAGTGTGCCTCTGTTGTCGTCTCTTTATCCTCTCCTCTCTCCTTTCTCCTTCCTTTTTTTTCTTTAACAAAAATGACTTCCTCATTCTTCTTTTCTGACTCCCCCCTATTCCTAACCTTTATTCTCTCCCTCTTTTACCTTCACCCTTCCCCTCTTACCTTTTTCCCTTACATACATACATATTTATCCTCTCTTCCTTCCTCTCTTTCTCTCCTGGCCATTTTGCAATCTTACAATTTTCTAAACACCTTTTCAAGGGAGAAAAGTATTTAGAAAATTGTAAGATTGCAAAATGGCCAGGAGAGAGAGAGGAAATAAGGTACCTCCTCTTCAACCCCTTCTCCTTTCTTACCTCTACCTTACCCCTCTTTACCTTTCCTCCTTCCCTTTTTTCCTTCCTCTTGTCTTCACTCTCTTCCTTCCTACTCCTCCTTTTCCTTCTTTCCTCTTTCCTTCTCCCTCAGCTCTTCTCTGATCTCATCCCATTCCCACTCCTTCTATCCACATCTTTCTCCCACTACTACCGCGTGTCTCCCTTTTACCTTCTCAACCCTTGCTCTCTCCATCATCCTTTATCTTATCTTCCTTTCCTCCAGCGTCAGGTCTTCCTCCACACCAATCCTCCATCTCTATATTTCTCTTCCCATTTCCAGCAGCTCTTTTTTTCTTCTTCGTTCTCGTTCTCATCTCCACAATCACACAACATCTTGCCATTCTCTCCTTTTATCTCCGCTACCTCCTTACCTCTATTTTTCTTCCCAGCACCCTTTCTGTATACATTTTTATTAGCACCCTTCTTTTTTCCCTATCCTCTCCTTTCACTCCTCTCCACACCATATTTCTTCTTCTCCATCTTCTGTCTTGTTCCTCCTCTCTTTCTCTTTCTTTCTTTTCTCTCTCCATCTTTTCCATCTTTTCTTCCTTCTCCACCTTTCTTTTCATCTCCCTATCTTCCACTTTCCTCCACAACTCTTTATCTCCTTCACTTTATCTCCTTATTCCTTTGCCTTCTTTCCTTCCTCCTCACTCTACCTTTATTTCCATTAATCACCACCATACATATCTTCTTCTTCCACTATTATCTCTCCCAACCAATTAATTACCGGAGCACACACAACTCTGTCCTTTCCTTCTCCGCCATTTTCCCCTCCTTGTTCATATTAATTATTTATATTTATAATATTTTAATAATTTCAAATTGTTACTATTACGGAACAACAAAATGTTATAACAATTTTTATAAATCTACTCGCAAAAATGGGCTCCCAAATAGTACAACATTGGACATCTTGAATTTCGATAACTCAGAAAAAATCATAGTGTTCGATAAACCAAAACTTAAAAACTTGAATATTTCTCTTAATAACACAAAGATCAAAATTGAATTATAAAAAATGTTATACAAAAAATATTTAACAAATAATTAAAGATGGACGTCAAAAAATGAGGAAACAATATTTTCTTTACATTTTTGCATAACTTAGAGGAACCGGTTCTTAAATACATAAAAAAAATTTTAAATTTTGAAGGTCATTAATTTCCTAACAGGGGGGGGGATTTTTTACGTCAGGAATGTTGCTCAACACATCAACACATACCCTCCACTTCAGGGGAAGCTTCGGGTTATGTGAGGATGGGTGGGGGCAGAAGGCCCAACTAACTAGACAAAGGAAAACGCGAATCCACCCGACCCACTAAACTTGACGGTGGCAATTTATCACTGTACTAAGGGTTACCCGGAAACCGCTAACGCATTACTTCCGGACAACCTCAGGTGCTGCAAATATAAACGCACATACTATAATTAAGAAAAATTTAAAGAATCAGGACGGCGCCACGTGCGATGCCGTCCTAACCCGCCCACATTAGAAGAACATGCAATGGCACGCATAGACACTCCGCCTATGCCACCTTTTATTTTTAATATGGGTTTCTGAATCTAACAAACCAAAATTAAAAGTTATATTATAAATATGATTTGCACTTTAATTTAAGTTAACCAAAATATAAAGACAAATTAGTACATTACATTCAGTTAGAAACTGACTCAGAGGAGAGGGTACAGGAATAAACTTTGTATCCTTCTCTCATCCTCCTCTTTATCACGCATAACAGTGTTAACAAACATAATAAAACATTTCCAACTATCTTCAAAGGCAACAATTTGCTGTACTATACCATTCATGTTTAGCGAATTAATGTCTAAATCTAATCGACTATACACAAACGCGCACGCTCAACAATCCATTCGATACAATAAAATATAGTGTGTTCCTCAGTGTCATCAATATTCGTGCACTGCTGACACATAGCCGAGACTCGCTTTCACATTCTACGAAGGTAAAAGCGAAAGCAACCATGACCGGTCATAACCTGCGTTAAATAATATGAGAGATTGCCAAATTCTCTTTTTATCCATTGGTTTAATATAGGTCTTAGCAGTTTTAACAGTCAAGCCAGGAGGACTCGGCTTGCTCAATAAGATGTCCCACTGTCTTAGCAGTGACACATTTTCTTCTGCCTTGATTTCATTAGAGAGAGAGTCCAGTTATTGTTCCTCTTAGTCTCCTTTATTCGTTCGTATGTGTGCTTGCGTAACGCCACAATGAGGGTCCACGGAGGTATCCTCGCGAGTAAGCATGCTACATAAAAAAACAGTTCTGTATCTGGATATGACCCTAATCGCGATTCTGCGCTATAATGCACTCAAAGATCTAATTTCCCGGTATGGAGCACACGTAAAACGATCAGCCTATACCGGGGCAGCATACATAGTTATAGACGTAATAACGTTAGCGTACAACTGTCTTTTTTTAGCCCAGAGTCTCTAAGATTGAGCATAACTCTGCCAAGCGCTCTGACATTTTTAGACGCATTTTCCTCTACGTACACAAAATGGTTCTTAAATGACCATGTGCTACCATCATGACACCAAGATACTTCATGGAGGACGATACTTGAATACAAACATCACCACATCTAATTACAGGTCTTATGCGAGACTCCCTGCGGCAAAACAGCACCGCTTCTGTCTTGTCCTCCGCAACAGACAAGCCGAGAGACCTGATATGATCCAAGACCTATGCAAGTTGGACATTAACCCTCAATACCGCGTCAAAGATTCTATCAGCGGATGACACAATCAGTGTGTCTTCCGCATAACAAAAAACCCTACAATTCGGCTCAAGGAGCAAACAAAGTACTCCGTCAAAAGCAATGTTCCATAATAGGGGACCCAGAAAAAGCCTGGAGGACTCCTGCAGAAACCTCGCGCCTACACAAAACTCCATTCTTGTCTTTAAATAGGACAAAACGATTATTAAGATAATTAGCACTAATTCTGCGCAAATAACTGGGAAATTTCGCTCTTGCATAGCTCTATTAATTACACCCCAAGGGATCAAGCGTTTTAAAAGCGTTTTTAATATCGATGCCACAGCATAGCTACGCGTCTCATTTTCAATCGCCAATGACGTAAACGATTTCACCGCCATTAAGGCATCTACGGTGAAGCAGTTCTTACGAAACCCCAAATTGATTCGATGACAGATTCGCGTTCTCATTTACAGACATCCAATGCACTATTCTATCAGCGATAATTCGCTCGAAAATCTTTTCTAGCTCATTCAAAAGACATATCGGTCGTGCCTTAATCGGTATTTCGGGTTCTATCTGTCTTTTAGGTATTAGAACTAAATTTGCGAGTTTGCATTGATTGGGAAAAGTACTAAACTTAAAACACTTGGTATAACAGGTTGATAATAATACAATAATCAACCAGGAATCTCTTTGAAAGCCGTGGATTTCAATCCATCAGGCCCAGGAGCCACATTACGTGCGACCTCTTTATTACACAATTTTGTACGGCAATCCCATGGATTTCAAGAGTGTCAGAAAACTTTTCCAGGCAATATTTTTCGACTTATTAATTCTTTACGTAGAGCTTTTTGGCCCTTCTTATATTCATTATGAGCAGCCAAACAGCCTTCTGATTGCCTTTAATTCTTCTCAACGTAGTGTATCTACGTCTACATGACGTGACAATTCGTCTGAGATCTTCAATATTATTGTTCCACGAGTACGTACTCGTTTTATGAGCCCGCGACATTCAAGAAGTGGAAACCCTGCATGCGTCGAACAAGGTCCTCATAATCTTGTCTAAGAGAGGCACCGGCGAATTTAACTCCATTTCAGGAATTATTGTTCATCGAATACCAATCCAGACACGTTTCAAAGAGGGGAACGTCGATTTTCTTAAAGTTTCACCTTGTAGAAAAGACCCCCCTTTTTTTTAGCATACGATGCTGGGCAGAGGAATGCATTTACACATACCATGGTAGGCCGGCCTACCGGGTTATGTGGGACTCACCTAACCGAGGTACCACGTCACGGGTCTCCCCCTACAGTCGGGCCACCGAAGTGACCCGGGTGCCATGGGGAGACTGACCGTGACAACAGCTACTTCTACCCACTAAACATCCTCCCGGCCCAGAAGCTAGCCTGCGCTTCTGAGCCGGCTAGATCCGCAAGAACTATTTAACACAATACTTTTGCGAACCCAACTCAGATGCGTTTGCACGCATCTCCCTTCTTCTCTCCTCCTCCGGGTGACTTGTCTATTCTTCTTTCCTTTTTTCCACCAAATAGTTGGT